TACATCTTTCTTATGGGTACAGAGGGTATTAAATGTGCTAAAATAGCTTTAAATGGTTTCTTATAAAGTTGTCATTTAGCTTTTTCCCTGTAGCCGCCGAGTTGCGTGGAGGCTTCGGCCTCACCCGTAATCCGCTGCCATGGCCGAGGAAGGCATTGCTGCTGGAAGTGTAATGGACGTCAACACTGCTCTTCAAGAGGTGCTGAAGACCGCCCTCATCCACGATGGCCTCACACGTGGCATCCGCGAAGCTGCCAAAGCCTTAGACAAGCGCCAAGTCCATCTCTGTGTGCTTGCGTCCAACTGTGATGAGCCTATGTATGTCAAGTTGGTGGAGGCACTTTGTGCTGAGCACCAAATCAACCTAATTAAGGTTGATGACAAGAAGAAACTCGGCGAATGGGTAGGCCACTGCAAAATTGATTGAGAGGGAAAGCCACGGAAAGTAGTTGGTTGTAGTTGTGTAGTGGTTAAAGACTAGGGCAAAGAATCTCAAGTACTTCAAGTGCAAGAAATGAATAAATAAAAAATTTGGCTCAAAAAAATAAAATAAAGTTGTCATTTAAAAAAATTTAACATAACCTGAAATGAACTTTGACATCGTTAAGATAGGGTTTTAAGTAATCAAAAGCACCTAAACAAAAGCAATTATCATAGTAAGACATAAAATCTTGATAATTCTTTAGACTTTTTTTCCTTTTTTGATTCTTTGTTGGTTTTACACCATGTATCCTGATCCCATTCATCTCCCTGTCCCTTCAAATTCATCCTCTACCCTTGCAACCTCTCTCCCCACAAAAAAATAATAAAATGTAAAAGAAAAGCCAGAAAAACAAAAACAAACATAATGGGGGATTCCCCTCTGTATGCTGTGAATATGCTTTATTACCATTGGTTAATAAAGAAGCTTCTTTCAGCCAGTGCCTTAACAGAATGTAGCCAGGCTGGGAAAGACATATAGAGAAAGCAGGCAAAGTCAGACAGAAACCATGGAGCCGCCAGAGGAGAAAGATACAAGCTGCCAGCTGGAACCTTGCCAGTAGACCACAAGCCTCGTGGTAAAATATAAAATAATAGGAATGGGTTAATTTAAGATAAAAGAGCTAGCTAGCAATATGCTCAAGTGATTGTCCAAACAGTGACTTAATTAATAAAGTTTATGAGTGATTATTTCTGGTCAGGGCAGCTGGAAAATGAACCAACAGCTTCCAACAACACAAACAAATGAACAAAAACAAAAAACAGAAAAATCTTGGCACGGACTCTGTGCCTGGTGAGACACAGTATACCATTTAGTCCATAAATCTTTACTTGTAAGTGTTCATTGCAATGAATCATTGGTCTGGCTCGAGATCTCTGGCTTCTGCTATCCTGTCAATACTGGGCCGTTACTGGAGCTCCTCTTGGATATCCTGTTGTTGTCTTGTGTCATAGAGATCCTGAAACTTGGGATCTACAGGTCTGGCCCCTTCACATGCCCAGCAGAGATGGATGTTGGGGTGAGCCATTTCATAACCCTGGTTCTGGGCCTGGGTGGTAGTTGACTGGTCAGCCTGCCAGCTTTCTCTCATCAACACCACCAGGGTGAGCTCTCCAGCATTGCCCCAGCTAACTTATCCACTGCAACAGGCAGAAAGGAGAAGGGCCAGCTCACCTGCACCCACAACACCAGGGTCAGCTCTACTGTTTCGCCCAGGTGAATTCAGGGCCCACTCTCCTGAATGCTGCAGTTGGTGAGGTGCAGAGCCAGTTCTCCCACTCTCAGGCCCCCAAGGCCAACTTTCCCACTTGCCATAGGTGGGAGACATCTTTTCTTTACCCATGCCACCCCACAGCAGACAAGGTGGGGGCCACAGGATCAGCTCTCCTGATCTCATGTGCTCAGAACCAGCTCACCTGCATTCCGCCCCCCACCAACAGGGTCAGCTCTAGTGTGTTGCCCAGGTGAGATGCAGGATCTACTGTGTGTGCTGCAGCCAGTGAAGGATAGGACCAATTCTTCTACTCTCATGACCTCAAGGTTAGCTCTCCCACCAGCCACAGGAGGCAATGGGTTGGGAGCATCTCTCCCTCACCCAGTCAATCATATGGCAGATGAGGGGTAGGGCCAGATCTCTCCCACATGTTCCTGGGGCCAAATGACCTGCACCCCCATTAACAGGGTAAGTTCTATGTGTTCCCCAGGCAAGGTGCAAGTTCCACTCTCCCAAGTGTGAAGAAGGATGCTTAAAAGAAATTCCACACTAGCTCAGAATTGAGAATAATAGAGGGTTGTTTATTTAGGGGTAGACTCACAAGTCATAATCCTCTGCTGGAATGGAGAATAGCAATTGAATCCCACATCCAGAAAAGAGGCCGGACGGGCATTTTAGATCAGCATAAATAGTATGAGACCACGCCAAAGTAGGCAGGTAACTTAAAGGCTACTGGATGTAGGAATTCATACAGCACCTTTTGTTTAAATAAAAGAGTTTTAAGCCTAATACAAAATTATATACAATAAGAACAAAGATATCAAGCAAGAAACATGTGATAAATGTTCCAATAATTATTCTATCCTAATGAGTTTAAGTCTTGTATAATAAATAACTTGGACAAGACATGAGAGGAAAGTAACTACAACAATCTAGTCTCCAACCCTATCAAAGATTCGAGAAGAGAAATAATATTACTTGAGTAAGCAGGAAGTGCAATCAAGCAACTTCCAAAAATGTACAACAAATGACAGAGACAACTGGCTACCTAGACAATCCCACAAAGTCTCATTGACAATGTTGAAACAACCCACTTTGTCTAAGGCCTAGTGTAACTGACAGACCATTTTCAGAGGCAGGAAATTTTTGAAAAACCGTCTTACCCTGTCTTGGCATGATTTGACAGTCTTTTTCCTTGTGTCCTGCTTACCTATTTTCTGATACCATGTACCTTGTCAGTGGTTGAGGCATGGGCAGTTCCTAGCCCAAAGGTCAATCCTGCCAAGAAGAAAACAAACTCTAAGTGGAATGTCTTCGGTGCTCAACATTCTCTTGGGAATACATGGGTGCTGCCAGGAGCAATCGTGTCTCACATCAACAGAACTCTAAGTTATTTAAATGCCATTTTCTACAGTTCTTTAAAGTGGTTGAAAATTACCTATCTATGCAGAACACAATCTCTATGTATCTAAAGAACCCGATTACTCTAAGTATGACAAACATAGATAACTATTGATCTATAATTCTTAATATCTATGTAATTTAAAGATGAAGGCTTCATATTAGAATATTATACAATATACAACTGTGCAACAAATGAGGACAATGACCTCAAAATGTAAATAATGTGTAAGTATCTTGATCAGAGGTAGAATTGTACATTGTAATATGATAAATATACCCTAAAATTATATCAACATACAAAAAAATGATTTAAGCAGAGGTAGAAGCATGCATGCATAAAATATGACAAAATAACTTTGCCTAGATATACAAATATTGTAGGTTAAAATAGGAACATATTCAATATAATTTAAGTTTGTATCAATATACAAGAATCTATACCAATGTAAATTACCTATAAATAATAGCTCACAAGTATTTACTCTATTATTAGTGAAATACTCACTATTATTAGTGGTGAGCAAGCTCACATTAATCTATTATCCCATTCAATTCACCCCCCTTTTCTTTTCAAAGAGAACCCTGATCTTATATAATTTTCCACCAACTCCTAACCCTATGCCAATTAAATTATGTCCCTAACCCTGAGGACAAACTTTATTGAGAGGGGGGCATTGTCTTCTAGAATGACTTCCAGCTGTCATGGGGGCAATGTTTCTTCTATGGGATCCTATGAAAGTAAAATAATGATTAAATTTCAAGATTACTGTCTGGTATAATTGCAAATAGTCGCTGAGTATTCAGAAGGATTTTTCTGAGGTTCCTATTTGGAGTTCTGACCAGAACGTTGTAAAAAAAAAAAAAATTACACCATTTCAGCTAACCAAGTTGGAATCATCTTGAGCAGCTGGTACCCAAAACAGGTCTTTTAGTAGCACTATCAACATCATGATGTCATTTCAACTGCGTAGAGTTGTTGTTGTGGGGCCCCATCTTCTTCCTGGAAACTTCAAAGATTACTACAGAAAAATTCATTGTTCATTGTGGAAAACTTAAACATTATTTATATAGACATATACAGACATATATATTCAATGAAAGGTACAATAGAGACAAAGATAGGTATAAAGAGAAGTAAATTTTTTTTCTAAATTCTTTTTTCTTTCTGTCCCATATCATGGCTCCTGACATGAGACAGAAACTCTGAATTTTTATTTTAACAACATGCTTGAATTTAGAGAAGGACAGAGCCAGTGTCCAACTCCAAAGCCAGCTTTGATTTTTAAGTGAATCATGATTAATATTTTTGTTTAGGTTTTTGAGATTCTTACCCTCAAATGACAAGTCCTTATAAGTCATAATTCTCTTTGCTTGGTGATCCTATCTGGATAAATATCTTTTCCTCTTTAGGCATCTAGATGTCCAGGGTCTCCTGACCTTTTGAAGATGAGTATTTTCCTACAAAGACAAGAGCAGAGCCCTGCCCCAACCCTGTATGGTTGTCACCATTGTGGAGTAATTGTCATTTCTCTTTTTCAAGAGTTTTCTCCTTTTTAAAGAGAATCTTTATTAATTTTGTTGGTATCCATAGCTTTTTCTTCTCCTGTGGAAACAAGAGCAAAGTCCCGTCCCCAATGTAGCACTTCTCCTGGTTTCCATTTTGAGCTCAACACATCATTGAAATACACTGGTTTATTTAATTCAGAAGATGTTTCTATTATCCAATGTCTCTACTGCTGTTGTCTCTTTCTCATTAGTGTTAAGAAAATTCAAGGTTAATAAAGCATTATGTAATCTATGTCTGGGGATATTTTCCACCCCTTTCTGTTTGTTTAACATTTCTCTGATACCTTGATTTGATCTTTCTATAACTGCCTGACCTGTAGGATTGTGTGGTATACCTGTAATATGCTTAATATTATAATAAGCAAAAAAGATTTCATTTTCTTAGAGACATATGTTGGACCGTTATCTGTGTTTATTTTTGCAGGTATACCCATGATGGCCATAACTTCTAATAAATGTGTGATTACTGAATCAGCCTTTTCTGAGCTTAAAACGGTTGTCCACTGGAAACCTGAATAAGTGTCAATGGTGTGGTGTACATATTTTAATTTACCAAATTCTGCAAAGTGGAACATATTCATCTGCCAGATGTCATTCCTTTGAGTACCCTTTGGGTTAGTCTCTTCAGGCAATGGTGTTTGGTTAAAGAAAGAGCAAGTAGAACATCTCTTTATAATCTCCTTAGCTTGTTGTCATATAATAGAAATTTTTTTCTTTAAACCTTTACTATTGACATGATCTTTTTTATGAAATTCTGGGGCCTACAACATGCTTCCAATCAATAATTGATCAATTTCTGCATTAACTTGTGCTAGAGGACCTGGCACAAGGATTTGTGTTATGTATATGGGGCAAAGCCTATTCCTGATTATGTCTTGCACCTGGATAAATAATAAAGTCAGTTCTATATCATCTGGTATAAATTCAGTGGTTTCAATATGACAACTCTTTCTGCATATTGTGAATCAGTAACTATATTAAGAGGTGCTTTAAAATCCCTTAGCACCATGAGAATAGTATATAATTCTGCCTTCTGGACAGAATTATAAGGCCTTTGTTCCACCTTACTTAATTATTTTGATTTGTAACCTGCATTCCCTGATTTATTTGCATCAGTATAAAAT